AGTTATATGAAGTTCATATATGTGAAAGAGAGTAGTATATTAATGGGTCGTGGAAGAATTATGTTCGAGAAGTGTCAATGGTACCTTCTAAGAATTAGTAGGTAGCGCAGGCATCCCGTTTTATCACTGTCTCGATATACAAAATTTTATTGAGGCCTTCGGTTTACGCGGCTTTTCTTCACAGGCTATGAATTGTATTGCTGCAATGCAACTGTGCATTAAATAGCGGTGTACACATTGCTAAGTTGTTGATAGTGGCGGTAGAAAATGTTCCAGAAGTGTTCTGTGTATACTGTTGGGAGAAATTTAATAAAAGTACTAAAAATTGTCAACTTCTTGCAGATTGTGGTATACTCGCTAATCCTAGAATTTGTAGGAAAAATTAGTGCTGCCATCGAAGCTGTTCCACTAGTCATGCAAAAAAATACTACATATCTTTATCAAATCAAGCGATCAATGATCACTCCTTATTGGATGGTCAAAGAGAATTCTTTTTATTTAACCGCAGTTTCACGGGTGGCCATGTCTAAAGGCAAAACGTCATATGATGGGTGACGGCCAAAACAGGAGCCGATGGTGGAAGGGTCAGAGTATGTGACCTTTGATAGGGTGAATTCAAGGTTCAAGTCAAGGCTGACGCAAATGTTTTTGCAAATCACTCTACATCAGTGGGATCACTATTTATATGTCACAAATATCATATACCAAGCTCTCAAATGTTTTCGTTGCCCAGATGTTCGCAATATTCTTAGCACTGACGAAGTAAACTGAACAAACTGCGCTTTCCTCGACATTAATGTACTTGATGGCTTCGGAGATGAAAGATGAAATGAAGCGGCAAGCATCAGTGAAGAGCGTTCACATAAGTGCGAGACAAGGAGTAGCACGGTTTACGGCACTCTTCTAAGAATCAAAAAATTATAATGCCTTACCTACAAATCTTCCTTGAATCATAAGTACAATTTTTTCATTGTAAGCAATCAAAAGAAAAGGCATCATGTAAAACACATTGATTATCATAACATTGCATTGGTTGGAGAAATCCAACACGAAGTTGTCGCATTTGAAAAGGTTTGAACGGAACCAATAGTAACCCTGCTGTTGCCCTCTCGCACCTTTCCTTTATTAATCTGAACAAGTTAAAGACATAAGGAGATCTAAATAAATATATATATATATATATATATTTCGAAATTAAGCACACAACTAAGGAACACCTAGCTTAGGAAAGATCCTATTAACACTCATCTAGCTAGTTTTGGATTTTGCGAATGTAGCCGATGATGACACCATGAGTACATATGTATACAGTTTACTTGGTCTTCCCTGTCTTTATTATGATCAGCTGCAAATTCCTAATATCGAAAATTATTCATAGCAGCAGTGATATTTGTTTCGGCGGCACCCTTCAGCGTTTGGAAAGGTCAAATTGACTAGTTGCGTACTCAGTTAGACATTTTCATATCCCCAAAAAAATTTGATGAACAACTTTTGGACTGTCCTAGTTAACTGCCTCTTTTGAATACTCACAGTTTTTCTCTTCTGCATGTTCTGAGTAAGTTCCTGTAGAGCGGCCAAATAGTCTTGCATGGAGTGCTAGGAATTGACATGACTCGTGCACAGGCAATAAAAATCAGTTTAAGCTATGGGCGTAAATTATTTCCTAGCTTATTTCAAAATGGCTCCTATAAGAGAAAGGGAGGAGGAAAGTTTTTCGGTGAAGAAATGAGGCACATTTTTGAGCTATGTCGAGTTTTTGAGGTTGTATCGCAGGTTCCCTGCGACATAAAAATGCTCAATGAATAGATGATCGACGTTTCGATCTCTCGTCAAAAACTCACAAAACCTTCCATTTCACTGAAATCGATGTGGCAAAACACTTGGTTGAAAGGAGAGCGACACTGATTTGTACATCAGAAAGCCACTACCAGTCATTGTTTAGTTCAAATACGCATTCAGTCACCTCAAACGAAACTAAAAGTTGAACATGAATATTTAGCGCATTCCTGAAGGGTTAATCCAAACAAAGAGTTTTCTCCTTTTTCTTCCATCTAGTTTCTTATGCCTAACGTATAACATGTTGAGTTCTAACGGTGAAGAGTCGTTTTTTTCACGGATAAGCCGCCAGTCGCTCCCGTGAGGCAGGGAGGACATGGAAAGTTTGTTTCCGAATTAGACAACGACAAAACCCGCTCTTCAGTGCAGTTCCAAACTATTTGAATAAACGTATTTGGCAAATTTGGCGCACAGAAAGAATCTACATTCTAGTTTGGCCTGGTAATAGGAAGGGCAGCCCTCGCTTCCACCGGCACCTCCGGAAAGCATAGGGTACTCTTGTCCCACGTTTGAGCGCCCACTCGCAACTTTGGAAGCCCCGCGTACCCTTGAAAGTAACTTATCTTTCTGCAAGGGAGATTTGTTAACTGATTTATCATGCGATAATAATCGGCCACTCCGTTCAAAAAGCAGTTGCCCCATGGCTCGGTAGATCAATGTTTTCGTCTATTACAATAGCTGAGCACTAAATTCTGACGTATAGACGCTTCTCATTCGTTACTTTCATTTTGAAATTTCCAGCCTTCGGACTGTCTTAACACCTTATTCATTATTCTTGAGTATTTATTTGATTTTATTTGCGAAATTAATGAGGAAACTGTTTCTGCTCAACTACGGAAATTGCAAATGTTCTTTAAGATTGATAAACCCGTCTGGAATACGACGCTATTCTAGCGACCTACTTATATACGACGTCGTTTTCTACAGCGTTGATGATAGCTTCCATCATTTCTGCCGCAGCGGAGTGCGATATAGGCAAGTCAGAGAGATCTTTTTTGGGGCTGGTTTTCACCATTTGCCAAACACAAACACTGTTTTTGTTCGATTATTACAAATCGCCAGTCGTTATTGAGAGAATTTGCGGTTTGGTGGAACTGTGGCTTAGTTTGAATAAATTACATCCAAATTGAAGGGATTCCAAAATTTCGATATACTGCACTACGATAGTTAAAAAGGACTTATCTAACAAGTGGTCATACAATCGCCGCCAGTGTTCAGCTTGAATAAGTTCGCCGTAGCCTCAGTGCACGACTCCAGGATAATCGGGCGAGGGGCAGCCAAACACTCTTCACCAGATCTATGTTCTACAATTAATAAACATGCATAAAATTCCGATTTGCCATTTCACAAATCTCTAGGAGCACTCGGACTGCTTCGTATCAATGAATCCAATTAATTATTTGCTCAAATAAGAGAATAGGCAGTGCGACAGCGACTGTCATGAAACCTTTCTGTCGCTTCATGATTAGAGAGAAGCTCCAGCTGGACCCCCAGTCGCTGCTCTACTGCACATGTCCGTGTGACTGTTCGATACCTGCTTCACATAGAAGTGAGAGCAGAAATGTTTTGAGCAGTTGAACGAACAGTTCCAGCGCAAAAAATTCTCGCCGAGCAAAAATGAGAATACATTGTTTTTATTTTTGAATGTCCAATGATTTACCTTAGTGCTTATACAAAAAATGATACCCAACGACCACTTAGACTTAAGTCTTTTTTGGTTGGAAAAATATCATTGGTAATTACTCGGGCGCAATGAGTGGGTGTTAGCCATTGGGTTGTTATGTGATGACCAATTTGATGGGTTCAATAACTGAAGCTGGAGGTATAAAGTCTTCGTTCTTAAAATGCCCACGTTTTTAAGTATGAGGACATTTTAGGGTTCCCTGTCACCTCTGGTCTCCATTTAGATCCACATCTGGCAGCTACGACGCCTTAAACGTCGTCGAGACTGACCGCCCCGAAGCCTTTCACATTGCAGAAGTCGATAATGCATGAAGCTCTAAAAAGTTTCCGGCGTTGATCAATTTCTGGGGATCCGCCATGCATCCGGTTTCAATCTCTAACCTTATTTGAGATAATTGAGTGCATATCTGGCTTCGTAAATGGACTCACGGTGGCCTCCCGCGGTATCGATCATGTGCTATTTATTCTAGCCGACAAGTCTGCGACCAGTCTGGTACCAATTGCCGACCCCGGAGGGATGGATTGCTCGGTGAGTTATGGACAGGAGATCGAACCACTGACTTTGTGTGCAACGCAGAGCACCTGTAACTACTGCTCCACATGCGTTCGATAACTCACAGGAGATATAACAATTAAATTATGCATTATTCTTGCATACTATGTTTAGCAATGCTGAGAAGAAGTTCACATTGAGATTTCTTCTGCTGCAAACCCCTCAAATCAATCGCAAGTTGAAATTAAAAATAGGCACAGTTACCAAAACTATTATTCCGGTTTTGCACTAATGATACGTGAGCCGGTATAGGTGAAACGTGATTCAACCTCCGCTCAGACCCGGAACTTTTGTATATTCCATGCCCTTCTTGAAAACAAGCACCCAGTATCCAACAGCTAGCAAGAGAGTCATTGCGCAGGTCATAAAAACCGTTTTCTTTCATATTTTGTCGAGACAGTGAACATGAGCGATCTCGTAGTTGCGCAGCTTCAGCTTATTTTTTACAACATTAAGGACGCTCCGCTCGCTGATCGCTAGCTTCTTTGTCAATTTGCGCATCGATGAATCCGGATTTCGTCGAACTTCACACGTGATCTTTTGAATCTTGCCGGAGAAAACAAGGTGGTTACACAACCTTTCCTAGAACAATCCTCAATCTCTCCAGTCTCCCTGAAACTTTTCACGGTTCTGTAAACTTTCGCTGGCTTGAAGCCAGTTAATTTTAGCAATGTCGGCCGTTTTTATTCCCATATCCAATTCATGAATTGAGCAAATTTGGTAACAGGCGAGTAAACTGAACAGATATTCGACGAAAATTCAACAAGGAATTCAAAAATCATCAGCAATAACTTAGAGCATTGGGTGGTGAGCAAAAACACGGCCTCAGGCGAGAATCGAATCCCCCGTTTCATCCTATCCGGGGACGCGTGCTCTAACCACAACAAATGTTGAACGGATGTTGAAGAATGAGTGGTCGGGCAAATGTGCCTCGGTGGTGTAGTGGTTAGAGCACGCGTTCGCCGAATAGGATGAAACGCGGTTCGATTCCCGCTTGAGGCCGTGTTTTTGCTTACCACTTAATTCTCTAAGTTATATATGTAACATCATAACACTGCGAAATAAGCAGTAGAAATACTATAATTTCATCAGCAATAATAAAAAATATTATCCAATGCTAAAAATAACAAAATACAAAATTTTCGAGGCTTTTGTGCAAATTGTATATCTCCCGTATATTTTAGAATTTATTTCAATGACAAACACTAGATTCAACAATTATCGAACCGACGTTACTTTTCCACCAGTCTAGTATTTAGTGATCTAGCTTTTTGGGCGTGTTTTAAGTACTTTGCGACACGCACACGCGGTCGATAAACCGATGATCGATGTTTTGATCTCGCTCTCAAGACTCACCGAACCTTCCATCTCTCCGTATCACCATGATACCAGACTTGTGTGGAAGGATAGCATCCTTGATTTGATACACTTAGTGAGCCACCGCGAATCATTTTAAAGGTCAAATATGCATATAAATGCCTCAGTTGAAAGTGAATTTGAATGAAATGCATGGCGTATTTCGACTGATCAATGCCAAAAGTTTTACCTGATTTCTCGTATTTCTTCCAAAAACTAAGCTTGCAGGTTAATAAGTTCCATTCTCACAGATTCATTAACCTTAGGACTCCTACTGAAACCTTTTCTGTGTTCGTTTTCCCCCACTTCTCGTTGTACTTTGAAATTTTTGTGTTCTCAAACATGTTCTATTCTTTATACCTTCTTTGAAATTATTTGATAAACAAATGGATCGAGGGAACATCAGCATTGTTATAAATCACTCAATTCAACTCTCTTTGAACACCACAATTTTGGGCTGGATCACTCCACCTGCACCGGTGACATCACAACGAACGTTTCTCAGACGATACCTTCCTTTTTTGCCGTTTATAAAGAATCAAAAGAAACCGTCAAGCTTGGTCATACCGAATAAGGAAAAGTTATATTTAGATTTTTTCTACAATACCAATGATATTGTGTGCATTTAGTAGATAAAACATTCAAGCGCCTGCAGTCTTCGACGGAACCATACACATTTGTTTTCCTAGCAAACACATGTTAATATAGCTTGTACGAATGCTTAAAGCCATACCGAGACTGTTACCTCAGAACCATACACGTATTTCGGAGGTATCGCTCTTTTCATCAATGGCGCACGCCCCACACTGAGAGCGTTGCTGTAATCGTGAAACGACAATAAAGTTTCATAACGACCTCTGTTCCACTGCCTACTCTCTTACTTGAGAAAATTACGTTTTTGAATTAATTGAAGACCAAGCAGTCTGCATGCTCCTTCTAGAGAATCGTGATCTGATAAATTGGAGCTCTATATGTGTTTATAAATTGTGGAACATAGATGGTGAACAGTGCCCTGCGGCCACTCGTTCAATTAATCTGCTGCCGAGTGCGGAGGCCTCAGCAAACTGATTCAAGCTGAACGCTGCCGGCGTTTGTATGACCACTTGTTAGATCAGTTCTTTTCAACTCCGCTACTGTAATACACCAAAGTTTTCAATCAACTTCCATTTGAAGCTTTGATTTATTCTAATTAAGCCATAGTTTTCACCATCTCGCAAGTTCTTTGAATATTAAGTATTAACTTGCCGTAATCGAACGAAAACAGCAGTGGTGTATGATCTATGACAAATAAAACAATTTCTAACGTGTCGCCTCTGGCATCTCCAGATCGTATTGCGCTACGGCAGAATAACCTGATCAATGCCGGTACGATGGGCGTTGGCGTCGTATATAAATAGGAAGCTAGAATAGCGACTTATCCCAGACGGGTTTATATGCTTTGAATAACATGCGGATTCTTTGTTGTTGAGCTGAAATAGTTCTGTCATCATTTTCGCGTATGAAATGAAATAAATACTCAAAGACAACATGCAAAGTCTGAAGGAAATGCAAAGATTAAAAATTTCAAAATGAAAGCATGTGAAGTGTTCATAAAATCATAGTTCAGTGCTTAACTATTGTGAAAAACGAAGGACGTTGATCTAGTAGCGCTGTGACAATTGCTTTTGAACGAAGAGGCCGTCTATTATCGTATGATAAATCAGTTCACAGATCTCCCTAACAATGTGGTAAGTTAGTTTCAAAGGCACACGGGGTTCCTAAGGATGCAGATGGACGTGCAAATGTAGACCTAAGGTAACCCGATGCTTCTCGGATGTGCTGATGGATTTGAAGAGTGCACTACGTGTTACCCAAGCCATTCTGGAATGTAGTATCTTTTCTGTGCGTCAGTTAGCGAAATGCGTTCAATTAAATAGTTGGCAGATACACTGGAAAGAGGATTTCGCCGAATTCGAAAACAAACTATTCCCTGCTTCTTGGGCGAAACTGACGAGTATTCGTAAAACCAAGTCATTACGCTTGGAGCTCAATATGCTATATGTTAAGCATAAAAAACGTTTCTTTTGAAGTTACTGAATGCATATTTGGCTCTCACAATAACTACTAGTGCCTTTCTGATGCATCTAATCAGTGATGGTATCCTTTCGAACAAGTGTATCACAGTGATACTCGGTGAAATAGAGGGTTTTGTTAGTTTTCGACGAGAGATCGAAACATCGATGGGCGATTAATAGGGCACGTGCATGTCGCAGGGCATCTGTGACTAACGCTGAAAAAGCTAGACGCTGAGAATTCTCCTTCTCGCCTGCCTCTTATAGGAGCCAATTGGATATGACAGGTACAGCCACGATTACATCTGTGAAGTGTGTAGAACTTCTCTACATCCGTGCAAAAGTACCTTTGGCTTGAAAACTTCGATTTGAAAAGAAACTTCAATAGGCGTACGTCTGACACAAAGTTATGACGGACATTTTTGAAATGTGGCCAGTAATTTCTGCATGAATCTAAAAAAGAAGTACAGAGAGTTTCCAACCGAGTATTCCGACGAGATCAGCACTGTCCAACTGTCGTTTTAGGCAGAAGCGAATTATATACGCACTTAAGATGTGCCTCATTAATTTTTCTTGGTTTGATCAATGTTTTTTTATTCATGAATTTTTCATGCTCAAAAGATATTTTCCTGATAAACGAGTATTTCTTATCCCATCAATCCTACTAGATTTTGATTGATTGTGGTAGTAAGTTTGACATTTCTTTAAGAGTTGTTGTTTACGGGTATTCCAGACCACCAAGTATCAGATACCA